AAAAAAAAAAAAAAAAAAATCAACACGAGGTTCCTACAGGGTTAATTTTTATGCTTTTCAACATAACTTTCTAGAACTTGGTTTAGTGAGACAGGGTCTCACTACATAGCCCAGACTGGTCTCAAATTCACAATCCTTCCGCCTCAGACTCCCAAGTGCTGGGATTACAGACATACACCATCACACGCAGTTTAAAATAGTTTTTTACAATAATGCAGACCAGGTCAAATCAATTTCACCATTTTAAGTACATAAACATGGGGCCGGGGATATAGCTCAGTGGTATAAGCACACGCCTGGCAAGCGCAAGGTCCTGAGTTCAATTCCGGTACCACAAAAAAAAAAGAAAAAAGATATTAAATACAGAAACATTTCTGAACTCTTGACTTTATTCCATGCAAAAACCTATTTCAGTGAAGTACCAGCTTTGTGCAGCAACAGTATCATAGCCAATGAGGTTTATCCAAAGCACGATTATTGCACCAAGTACCAAACGATGTTTCTTTAGAGGTTTCTGTGAAGAAAAAATAACCATGAAAATTTTACTTACAGGATTGTACTGAAGAGCAGAGACATAAGCTTGTACTGCTCCTTCCATGTCACCTGCTGCTACCAATGCGGCTGCCAGGTTAATATAACCATCGATGAAATCAGGTTTGAGACGTAATGCATGTCGATAATGTTCAATTGCTTCCTGCAACTGCCCTCTCTCCTTGTATACATTCCCCAAATTCGAGTAAGCTTCTGCCAGAAGGGGATTCTGTTTAATTGCCAGGGTACTAAAGTGAGCGGATCTGGAAAAGGCAAAAGTGTTGATGCATGGGTACACATGTTACCTAAAAGAAGGCATGGCCCATATGTAACTGTGAAGTTTCTGAAGATCCTGTGCTATTAATAATTATGTGACAACACATTATCTTTAAACTAGCACATAGCAAGAAAAGTTTTATAAGTCAAAGCTTTTCACAAGTGAAGGTATTCCAGATTTCAAATTGGAAAGCTTTTTCTCATGAAATAAAATTCTTACTAGGCTTATTACTAAACTGTCACAGCGTAAATTATGATCATTAAGATCAACAATGAAAATGCTACACCAGGCATAGTGACACACGCCTGTAATCCCAGCACTGGGGAGGCTGAGGCAGGAGGATCAGAATCGTTGTGAGTTTGAGGTCAGCCTGGGCTACAAAGTGAGCTCAAGGCCAGCCTGAACTGCATAGCGAAGCCCTGTCTCAAAAAGACAAAAAAAAAAAAAAAAGAAAATGCTATGTGCATGAATCTCATTTTTCATTTGTTGATAAATTTTAGATAATCCCAGAACCCTGGGAGACTAAGGTAGAAGGGTCACAAATTTGAGCCCAACCTGCAGTTTGTCAATTTAATAAGATCCTGCCTATATCAAAATAACAAAAAGGGCGGGGTGGGGGCAGAGCTCAGTGCGAGGCTTTGGGTTCACTCTCCAATTTAAAAAAATGGGGGCAAGAGCCAGGGCGTGGTGGTGCACCCCTGTAATCAATCCCAGCACTCGGGAGGCTGAGGCAAGAGGATCATTTGGAGTTTGAGATCAGCCTGGGCTACAAAGTGAGCTCAAGGCCAGCTGTTCAACTGCATAGAGAGATCCTGTTTCAAAAAGACCAAAAAAAAAAAAAGGGCAAGGGATGTAGCTCAACAGTCTAGCGCCTGCTTAGTAAGTTTGAGGCCCTGAATTCAATTCCTGGTAGCAAAAAAAAAAAAAGCAGGCTACAAAGCACAATTTTTTCTCTTTTAACTGATTCAACTGCTTAGCTAAAAGCAACACTTTCTTATAACTTCACAATAGCATTTTCAACCTAAACCTCATATGCACCTCCTACCGTAACATACACACCATCATTTCTGAGCATTTCAGTCCCTCAAACTGACAGGTCTTATAAAGGAGAGAGACTGGATGCTCTAACGTACTCTAAGATTCATTTATTACCTGAATAGAGTTAATAAAGCAGTCGACCCAGGTGGGGAAAAAAAAAATCTAGAAAAAGTCCTTAGTCATACTGATATAATAACCACTACTAAGCAAAGGGAGAAAAACTGGCAGCTGGGCATGTCACAAGTGGGCAAAAGAGCAGATATACATTGGTAGCTCAGTTGAAATCCAGCACTGGAAAAACGTCAAGTTCAAATTATTTAATTTTCAGCAGTCAAAAGCGGATACCCCCCACATCTCCTACCTGTCCAGTCTTCGACACTGGAAGTGTATAGATGAAAGTAATAAAAGCACACCAGTATTGTCTGGCTCTTGTCTCCAGAGCTGCATACAGTGTCTCTCAGCTGCCTCAAAATCTCCTGCCTGATATTCTCGATGTGCCAACTCAGCTAACCCTTGGAAGGAAAGCATACGTTTCGTTGGTTCTGGAGAATCATCAAAACATTTGAGGGAAGGAGGGGGGAAAACAAAAAGTTAGAAATGCAAACAAAAAATGTAAAAATATGGTATATTAAACTTAAAGATGAAAATGCTTGAAACTATGTAAAGCACTAGAGTGTTCTGCTTGTTATTTATAGCCCCAAGTTAATGTCAGGTGCAGAACTGGCATCTTTAGAATTCACCCATTAATATCTTTTCTTCCAAACAGAATATTTACTTCCAAGAGAGACTACATTTTAAACATCTTGCACCTTGAAATTATAACTCATGGACAGCACGTGAAAATTCATAAAAACTTTGTTCCTTATACCTCAGCTAACAGACTAAAACAAAACATTAAATACACAATCTGCAACGGTCATGAAGAGTTAATAATGTCCAATAATCCTGAAGGACAGTCCTACTGGGCAACTGAACACTGTGTCCCATATTTTAGGTTGGGTTTGTAGGGGTTAGGGTAATGGTAGCAATCTCTCTTAACATGGGTGGGGAAGCCAGATGTGCTTTAAACTCTTTACATTGATGTATTTGTGTATTTCAGTTTTTAAAAAAAGAGGGCCACTAGAGACATGTCTAAGGAAAAAACCCTAAAAGTCAATGTGCTATTTTTAAAACAGCTGATAAACAAGATGACTTCATTTGTCAACAGCCAAATATTTAACAGGGTCATCAAATATTTTAAATAAGGATCCAAGAGTATATTATTGTTCCTTGACAGGACTGGTGGTGGTGCATGCCTGTAATCCTAGCAGAGGAGGCTGAGACAGGAGCACCGTGAGTTTGAGGTCAGCCTGAGCTACACAGTGAGTTCAAGGCCACCCTGAACTGCAAAGCCAGACCCTGTCTCAGAAAAAAAAAGAAAAGCTCCTCTACTATCCCAAACTCACAAGCAGACCAGATAAGCTAAATCCACCCACTGGTTAACACTAGTATTTTCCAAAGAGCTCTGGCAATGACTAAAGGATTAAGACACTGCAAACAACTCTATAAAATAACCACGGCAGTAACCTACACTTGCAGAGGTCAAAAAAAAAAAAGGAAAAATGCCTACAATATAAAACATTGCATAAAGCACAAAAGAATGACCAAATAAAAACACTGCTATGTATGGCTTAATTCAGATAAGTAACGAGAAAGGGTATGGCTAAAGGCCAGCAAAATGGGGGTGGGGGACCTGCCTTAATAGTAAACACTTATATAAATAGTGACACATTATTGGGAATTCAACCTCGATGTTTTCACTAGATGGTTGGAATGGGAAACCACAGACGTATTACTTCATTTTACCAAGGTCACCGTGTAAAACTCAAATCTGAGCCTAGCTCCCCAATTATTAGAGCTGAGCAGTGTTCTGGAAACTGAGGAAAACAGAAGTAAATGTCCTGGCTGAAGGCACAACTGACCACAACGAAGAGCAGGCAGACTTTTGTCCAACTCTGGGGGAGGCTGTCTCTCTAACAGGAACTAGGAAATTATATTTTACACATCTCTAGAACTTCCTAGCTCCTTAACCTAGTACATTGTCACTTTTCAAAGCCGCTTATCTTCTATTTTAACACTTGACCACTTCCTCAAAATAATATAGACAGACAAGGACAAGTTCACAGTCTAATGCAGACTTTGGTCTCTGAAAATCACAGTGGGGGAATTGAGAGAGAACGGAATAATTACGAATCCCACTCCCTACAATTATCGATAAGATATTTATAGAATATTCACCTTTTACTTATTGCACAATACCAAAAAAAGTCAGTAAATGCTTGACACATCTCAACTGCGAAAGCATGCCTCCCCGCAAAAGTCACCCCGTGGGAGACCTCAGAACCGCCGCCCAAGTCCTTAACCCTAACCCCTCTCGCCCCAAACAGCCTGGACAAGGAAAGGCAGCCAAAGGACACTCCTATAATTTGGTTTTCTTATTTTTTGGTACCAATGCTCCAGACTGAATAATCTAAAAGGACAACCGCCTTGCACTTGTGCAGCTACACTCCAGTTGCTTTACAAACTCTTCAAGCAAGGATGGAAACTTAAAAAAGAAAAAAAAATACACACCCTATGAATAAAGAGACATTGGGCTAAAGAATGGGGACGGGAGACCCAGAGGCGGCGTCGGCGGAGGAATACATGAGAAAGTAACACAAAGCAGGAATCGGGCGGGCAAGGTGGTCCACGGGAGGGCGACCGCAGCGGGGTGGTCCCCCCCAAGGATAGGAAGTGGGCCGAAAGGCTGGCAACCTGGCCAAGGAAAGGGTGTGGTTCCCCGCGGGCGGGCGGGAGAGACCACTGGGGCGGCAGCCGCAGGCTGGGGGCAGCGGGTTGAATTAGGCGACGGCAAAGGGAACCCCTGGAAATTTCCGATCTAAACTGGGACTGCTCAACCGAAAGAATGCCGCCCAGCGGGGTGCTTTCAGTGTCCCCTCTTCTCAAGCTTACTTGGAGCAGTCGACGAGCGTCTGCTAGCCTTAGTCTTTGCGCGAGAACAGGAATCCATCGAAATGGCACCCCCGCCCTAGGCTGGCGGAAAAGGACCAAACGTGGCTAAGGGGAGAGGGCTCGAAGGGGATACGGAGGGGACGGGGAGTACAGCGGGGAAGGACAGGTTGACCCGGAGAAGGAAGGCTGCGAAGAAGACTGAAAGGGCAGGGGTTCCAATTCCATTCCAAGACATTCTACGCGCGCACGTGCGGCAGGAACGTTCCAAAGAAGTAAAGCCTAAAATATTTAGGGGGTTTAAAAAAAAAAAAAACTAAACTAAAGAAGCAACAAGCAAGCAAGCAATTGCAAATACTTGAACAGACGACAACGGAAACTCGACCAGATGCCAGTAGACCACGATGTAACGGGGATGGTTAGAGAGAAGGGAAGGAGCGATGAGAGGAACAGGACGGCGCCAGACCCCTAAGGGACGTCCGCTAAAGTAGAACCGGACACTGGTACCTGTGCTGTCGGCCACGTTGCCCACGGAAGACGCCATCTGGAGCTTCTTGAGGGAGAGCAAAAACAGGGTAATTGACTCCTGCTGCCGCCACTACTGGCAAGAATGTATCTGGAGGTAGTAGAAAAAGGGCAGCAGCCTTATCAGGATTTTGAAAGGCTTAAGCGGCGGCAGCAGTTACAAGCTTTGAACCTTAAGAACTCTGGTTGGCCATCAACCTCGCACTCACGGTCTTGAAATGGCGGCTATGGTTCCACGGCCGAAACAACACGGGCCGGAACTACTTTCTGGTACAATCAAGTACCCGCGCGGAGGAAGCACGGTATCTCACTACCTACAAAATGAGTGTAATCAAAGTCTCTACTCCGTAGGTAACCTTCCGCGCGGGGCCAATTGCGACAAACAAGATTGTGTGGAGGGCGCATGCGACAACCTTATCAACCTGACTCCCGTTTAGGGCACTCGGTGGGGCAGGAGTGTCCAAGTTTTTGAAGTTAGACGGAAAGGTCAAACAAACAAACAAACGCATTTATCGTATGCATGTTTGCCAGCGGTAGAGTGTAAATCTCTTTGTTACCTGGTCAGTAACGTCAGTGTTAACCAAAATACCAGAGGCGTTTAAAAAAGTTCGGTCAACTTTATTTGTACAACAATGGATAGTTACAAAGGCTGATGCCTCACTCTGAACGAGTAAATTAAAATGATTGCATTTCAAAGGCGAAACTGTTCGAAACGAGGCGGGAGAGGAGGAAAGGGTTGCAATTTGAAGATGTCTTCATTCTGACTCCATCCATTGATTTAAGCACTTTATTGAAAAAAACTGATACTTTCACAGGGCTAAATGAACACAATCGCCTCTGACCTAAGCCGTATAGCCCAAACTTTCAAAATCGACTTTTATATTCAAGAGAGTTCAGGATACGCAATGTACCGAGTATTGTAGCTGTCCTACTAACCTGTTTCAAAACTCAGTTTCTTTGTCTATCTTTTCTCTTTAAAATAAAAAAGCGTTCTTCGCACAGTAATAGCAGTAATTCAGGGACATGCTGAGCGTTTGTACTCCAAAGTCAACCATAAAAATGTTAAAAGACTATTCATTTTCTTCAAAATCGATGACTCTCCTCTGAGATGTGACTTCCTTCCCACCAAATAGCTCTGCAAATCGTCACAACGAGCTCAAGGCAGTTCAACAATGCTAAATGAATTCACTTGCCATCTGCCTAAACCACACGTCTAGATTGTATCGTGAATTACCTTCCTTTGACAAATCAGATCTTAGAATCCTCCTGCAGTTTCAAATCCAGTGTTCAGACGTTTTGTCACATTCTTATTAATTTATGTCTCATTTCTAGTTCCATAATGGGTTTAAGGTAGCTTGCCACATCAGCAAAAAAATTACTACAACTAAAGGCTTGTACAAGTTGGTTCTTCATCTAAAAAAGGAAGTCGATGAATTTCTTCAAAAAGTTTCTACCACCTGGCCCCTTGACTTCATTAAAAAAAACTAAATTCTCAAGTTCTGTTCAATTTCTTGAACACAGTCCACAAACAATTATGGATATGAGCACAGAGAAAAATCATAATGTTGCTAATTTCTTCCATCCCATAATCAAGAGTCACATCAGCCAGTGAAGAAAAGGTCACTACACCAACTTTTCTGGAAAATGGGCACCTAACACACACACCCCTCCCCCGCAAACACACACACACACACACTCAATTGCCCCACAATGTGTGATAAACTCACCTGTTCAACTTTTAGAAGACTTCTCAGATCCCCTGGCAGATGTTTAGGCCTTACTGATTAGTGGGTGCTAATTAGGTAAAACTCTTCTTGTTAATTGCCAGATCATACTCCTGGTCGGGCAGTTTGCCTCACAGATATCTGTGATCTGTTTCATTTTCCTGAGAGAAGAGTCAGTACATTATGATACAGTGCATTGCTATGGGCAGCTGGGTGGTGGGGCTCTTAATGACTCAATAAAGAAAAATCCTGGGGGCTGGGTATTTAGCTCAGCGGCACAGCGCCTGCCTGGCAAGCGCAAGGTTGTGAGTTCGATTCCCGGTACCGGAAAAAAGGCAAAAAGAAAAAAAAAAAAAAGAAAAAGAAAAATCCTTCAAGAACCCATTCCAGGTCTTTCCAGAATCAGCACTTGCAAGGTTTAGTTGGAACGCCTTTATTCGTCAGACAAGCATACCTTCTTCAGCCAATCAAGTAACATTTACTAGAATTTCAATGTGCTAAGCAGGGGGGGAGAGGGGACATAAAATGAACGTGACGAGATCTTTCTCCTAAATGAACTTGAAGCCTAGTTAGGTAGACACAAAAAGCCCCTGGAGAACAATGCGGAAGAATATTATTTAGGTAATAAATTACATTAGTCTGTAGGTATCCGGAGTAAGAACAGTCACCTGAGGCTGGAAGGGGTTGATGAAGAAGGCGCGACATGGGCACGGAAGGAGGTGCTTTAACGTTTCTTTCCCTTTACACTGATTTCTGGTTTTGCTGCCTTTTGCCTGCAGCAGCCCATTATAGAGTCATCTGTAAATAAATCAGCTACTTCAACTTTAATCCCAAACTTTGCCACTCTAATAACACCACTAATAGTGTATTACTTTTCCGTTGCTGTATAACAAGTTGCCACAACTCTACGGGCTTCAAACACGTTTTGCAGCAAGAGCGCCGGCGCCGGAGAAGGAGCTGAGAGATGCGCTGTCCCGCGGCCGCTCCTCCGCCGCCGCCCGCACCGCCGCCGCCGCCGCCGCCGCCCTGCTGAAAAATGGCTCCAAGGGTTAAGCGAAGCTGAAAGCATGCGTAGATGCAGCACCACAGGCTTTCCAGATGTTTGCAGACAATATTCCAGAGATAACTTGATGGGGAACCAGTCACAATGAAGAAAATTAGTCTAACCTTTCGCGGTTAGAGGAAATGTCTAGAAATCTTTAAACCTGAATAAAAGAAAAAACTGATTTCATAATAGTAAAATCAACACTAACCAGTGGATTTGGAAAAGATGAATCCTTATTTGGTAGCTACTAAGGCAAAAATATCGCCAGCTGTAATATCTATAGTGAAGAGGAAAAAGGTTTTAAAAAAAGATCAAACGGCGAAAGCTTAAGGGTTACATTTAAAAGGTGGCTTTCTGCAAAACAAAAAGCAGAAAGGCAGCGGGGGGCACACCCTCCTCAGCTCTGCCCAATGAGGATATCTTTTCCTCTCCTCAGCACCAATAGTCTTTAAAGATGTGGGGAAAAGAAATAAAGATGTCAGAGCTCAAAGACCAATAGGGTTCACTTCCCCCTACAATCATCACTTGGCTTCTTGACCTGCAAACTCTGAGAGAACGCCTGTCAAAATGGAGGTAAGCAGGTTGTGCTGGCGCAAGCCTGTCATCCCAACTACTCTGAATGCTGAGGCAGACTGGGCAACCCAGCAGACCCTGCAAGTTAGTGAAACCTTGTCTCAAAAAAAAAAAAAGAAAGAAAGAAAAAAAATGGCTGGGAATGTAGCTCAGTGGCAGCTACTTGCCTAGACACTACCTGGGGGCTCAGGGGCTGAGATGAGAGGCAAAGCATTGGCTCTTCTTCCAATCCAAGTCCGTCATGGAATGATATTCTTTTGTTTTGCTTTGCTTTTGTGGTACCGGGGATCAAACTGACGACCTTGCGCTTGCCAAGCAGGCGCTTATGCCTCTGAGCCATATCCCCAACCCCAATGGAATGACATTCAAAAAGGTTTTTTTTTTTTTTTTTTTTTGGTCAGGTCATCTTTTTGTTGAAATATTTTCATATTGCTTCTTAGCTAGCTGGGCACTCCACAGCACCATTGTTGATGTCATCTATGATATCCTTAGGGAGCCTGCCATCCATATTGCAGCCCACAGACTGGGTGGTCCCCAAGATTTTCTTAATGGTTCCGGAAAGATCTCCGGGAGTTGAGAAGCTGACAAGCTCATCAAAAGTGATATTTCCACTGTGTTTAAGGTTTTTCCGCTTCTTTCTGTCTCTTGGCGGCTCCTTGAGGGTTTTGACAATCAGGACAGAGGCAGAAGGCACCACCTCAATCTGAGCCTGTCCGTTCTGGTTTTTTGTTTCTTTTTTTTTGGTTTTGGTTTTTCTCTGGTACCAGGAACCGAACTCACGACCTTGCGCTTGCCAGGCAGGCGCTTTGCCGCTGAGCTAAATCCCCAGCCCCAAGCCTGTCTGTTCTGAATGGTCAAGTTTCAGTGGAATCCTCAGACCTTTCCAAGTCACCGGTTCCCCTGGCCATGTCATCACCCACTTTTTTTGGAGAGAGACCCAGGAGCCGATCTTGGGGACCAGGGCAGACGTGACACCAACTTCGCCACCAGTGCACCTCAGGTACACAACTTTGAGCTTGTTGGGGTCCAACTTGGGTGGCATGGTGGAGGCGGCTGGTGTCGGATGAACCTGGATTCAGGACAACCGAAGAAAGTTTTGTTTGGTTTGGTTTGGTTTGGTTTGGTTTTTTGCGTTTTTTTCTGGTACCAGGAATCAAACTCACAACCTTGTGCTTGCCAGACAGGCTCTGTGCCGCTGAGCTAAATCCCCAGCCCCCAACCGAAGAAAGTTGCACCTTAGCCTCCTCCTAGCTGAAAGCTGAAAGTTCAAAAAGACTTTGAACAATCTTCGGCCTGAAACCATACGCAAAGAGCAAAATAATTCACTAAAGAGTTCAGAATTTCAGGTTGGAGACTTGCATCTTCTCTCTGGTGAACATGTGCCTGCATTCATTCCCTGTGCCTTTTGATAAGAGGCTGTATCCTTTGCAAGGATTTCATGGCTATTGGCTGGACAGTTCTCTACCCATGGAAGTGCCTGCAGTTTCTTTGTAAGTAAAAGGAGACTCCTGACCTGAAGATGAATAGCAGGTACACCAGGGTCTGGTCATTGCCCCAAAGATCTTTGTGGATTTGCTTGCGAGTGGCTTGTTTATTGATACCATAGGAGTCACATAGTAAAGACCGACACTGAGTCATGATGATGTTCCTCTGTTCTCATCATTGCTACTTCCAATGCTGAATAATCCAAAGGAATTTCAGATGTCTGTGTCTGAAAGTACAGTACGCATTGTAATTTGTTTTGTTTTGGTTTGGTACCGGGAATCGAACTTAGGGCCTTGCACTTGCTAGGCAGACACTTGTGCCACTGAGCTGTATTCCCAGTCCCGCATTGTAATTTGATTATTTTCTTTTTCCTGTGTTACTGGGGATTGAATCCAGGGCCTTCACACTGAGCTGCA